TCTTAGGTTGAATATTTAAAAAACGTGAGCCTTTATCATGTCTGTTACTAAAACTCCCGACTGGCATTGCGGCGATCATTTCTGGTGTCGCGTCATCAAAATGAAGTTGAGGAGGTGACAGAACTAGGAACTATTACCCTCATGACTATCTAAGGTTAGTTTGGGCATGTTCAAGCGCAAGAGTTCTGATGAAGTTCAGCGAGCAATTTATCGAACTATTTCCCACAAATATCTTGGTTGATTAAGACACAGGACTTAGTCGAGGAGGCTACTGTGAATGGCGTTTAAGTTAGCTTCATACTCTATTCCTTAAATGTTTTTGTGAAAAATGCAGTCATTTGCAAGCCAATTTGGTTTTGCGAGGGAAGCACCTGGAACCCAGCTGAACCTCTTGTTTACGTTACTTTCCAGCCCCAAGAAGGGCGAAACCAGTCATGGGCAGTCAGAGGATTTTCAGCAACCTTACGAGTAGTGTATTACGTCTATACATGTATCACGACCTTTCGAATATCGTACCGACTGAAACGTGACGTGGCCCTGTGCAACACATTTAGTTGCTTAAAAACAGCTCAAGCGAGATATTCAACCGGGATCAAGGTGAGTTACCCGTGGAAATCAAATTGATATACAAATGGGTGTATTTGCCGCGTTTCGTTCGATTTGGATTCAAGTAGAATAGAAGGTTAGAGAGACTCGGCGACTGCATCTACCTGATTAGCAGCATGAAGGGCGAAACCGGTCATGCGATTTTGAAGAATTTTCAGCACCCCTATGAGTAGTGTATCACGTCTATACATGCTTTTTGGCAAGTTTTCCCTGAGTTTGTTCAAGCAACACAAATAGCAAACAATCGGCTCAAATCTAGCGGTGTAGCTGAATTGTTTTGGATTCACTCCAACTTTCCTTGCATCTTTCATTGTTATTCAAACATTTTTGCACCTTGAATCAACATTTATTGCGTTTCACTCTGTTAATCAATGTCACTGATGACGAACAAATGTTCGTACAAGAATTCAATTCTATTTTGCAGACAGATATCGTTTTGCCTGCGGTATCGATTCTTAGTGGAACGTGGTTGAAAGGCCTGATGTAATGTCAATAAAGATAGGAAAATTCCTTCACCGAACAAATATCTAGCTTACCTCCCTACAGCGATTGGAATATTCGTCTACTGTCCACTGTCTTCCCAGATGTATCTCATTCGGGCTGATGGGAAGGAGGCTGAGAGAAGACAGTGAATGATGTGACGACTATTCACACCTAAAGCATTCATTATGTATTAACCTGAACTATCGAAAATTAAGCGAGGTTTTTTCCTCCAAAAAATTGGGTGTCAACTTTATTGCCGGGCAAAACTCCGTCCGGTCTTATCAGGTGACCAGATTAGTCGAATTTTGGCGAGGAGCCGCTCGGTAGGCACACGAACTCACTGTTGAATATCAATCAGTCTTTTTAAATTACTTTTCACGACTGACAAAGTAAGGGTGAGAATTTGGACAGCGGTTTGGTTTGGGTTTGTGACACCATGCATACGGTTCAGAACAACTCACCTGAAGAGTGCTCTTGTATGTCTTTCGCAAGTTTGACTCGTTTGTATCACATATTGGCATGGTTTAAGAAAATTTATTCACTTTTGGCAGAGAACTTTGAACCTAATTCATATTAGCTGAAGATCTGTCTGAGATCTGTTTGCATTCACCATGATCACCAACTCAAGTTGCAGATGAGTATTTTTCTCCACACACACACACACACACACACACACACCAATCCATTGTTCGGTTATGAAGTAAACTGATCAGATTTCGGTGATTAGCTGATGAGTTTCAAAAAGACCGATGTCTCTACTCCGATGTTGTACCCATGTTGTCTCTACTCGGTAGTCTCATTAGGGTCACGTGACGATAAGCCACTTTTCCTAATGTCTGCTCATCTCCGATAATCGCACAATCCCAAGTTTCGGCTCAGCTATTCTCATACACCTGGCTGAATGGTTTCCGTTTCATTCATACTGGAGTGCGTAGTAAGTCCCTCGATATCCAAGCGCTGTGGCAGTTTCTTCAAGCGAATCTTTGATATTTTCCAAATCCATCTTTCTTCGCACATTGATTCAACAGTATTGTCCTATAACTGTTATACTTCTTGAACAACAGGCCGAGTTGAACTAAAAAACAGACTTGGAGATTGAGAGTAAACAGCCAGCTAGATGATTAGGTTTAAATCAGCAGGGAGTGAATGTGAACAGCTGTTAATCCACGAAGATTTGAAATCATTCGAACCGTCCGAAATGGCGCCAACGCGAGAAGATCACCTCAAGAGGTAACCAGTTTGTGCTGATTTACTAGAAGTAGCGCCCCCCAAGATTTGCGTCCACAGAATCAAATGTAACAACTGCAGTCAAGTTGGGGCGAGATGGCCCAAGCGGTTAGAGCGCGAATTGACTGACCGGAAGGTCTGTGGCTCGAACCCGACCTCTGCCTCTCGACTTACCCTGTCTAGGCTTGGGCAACCTGCTTCCTTCGGGTAGCATGGCAGCTAGGCACCGAAAGGGTGCTACAGCTGAGAGTCAGGTCGACAAGGGTAAACGGACCACCAGGGAACGCAGACGAATATCGGGAGCTAGAGAGGAGATCAGCTGTGGTGACCTGTGGGTTGAACGCGAAACATAAAGCAGACCTACAAGATATGAAGAATGTGATTTGAGAACCATAGTTCACACCAGACAACGGTTGCAGTGGGCGTCGCCAGGCATCCCACTGTGAATAAAACCGAGAGAGTAGAAGTGATGACCATATGGTGACAGGTTTTAGGTCATCCAAGACTGGAAACACCGTGAATTACGGTTTTTACTGAAAGATGGCCTTCCACACATCCTTCTTTCGCAGTATCGTCCAAATTATCGAAGTTCCTCGGCTGAAAAAAGAATTTTTCGCTCCATTATTCGCCGGCTGCGCATGCTTCGTGATTTGAAATGCTTCATTCATGTGTACAATGCCGACCGTCCGACCACCCTACCCCGGCACAACATCGTTTGCCCAGCAACAATCAGTAATTCCGCGAGAGCAGCGGTTTAATTTTTCCACTCCTATTACTCAAGAAAAACGGTTTTGTGATGAGGCATGATTCACCCGAACCCTGATGGGTTAAATGGATTGAGTTAGCCAATTACTGGAGTGACATCGTCCCGGCTGAATCGCCTGCTCGCGGCGCCCCCAAAGGCGCTCACAACAGGAGACAATGTTGTTAATTATACCATCTTTACAAGGATTTCCTCCGATATTCAATTGACATGAGGTGTCTTGAGTTGGAAAATGGTCCGATATTTTTACGTGACTGGCCCGCCCTCAAGGGATGACAACCAAATAATTGAAAATGTGCGTGCGTGCGTGCGTGCGTGCGTGAGAATAGTGTGCGTCTATGGGTACCTGTGCGTGTGTGTGTGTGTGTTTGGGAGACCGACTGTCTATTAGGCTTAAAGCGGGGAAGTGCGCGGAGTGTGTGCGTGCTTGGGGTCATTCGCAGCGTGTGCCTGCCTCCTGGTGTGCTTCATCCGCGTCAGGAATTAGCGTACAAAACCAGGGTACATGTGCGCTGAAATTCAAGCGCTTTCGACCGTTCGCCTACTTGCAGAGGTGCTAGGACCAGCCTGAGAAACCTACAACTGTATCCTTTGGAGCGCGTATTGCTTCCGTGAGAAAGTCAATCATTCCCGACCATCACTGATAGACAAGCAGTTGTGATCCGAATGTGGAACACACAAGGTGACAGTAGATTCACTGAACGAATGGAAGTCACTCAATTTAAAGTTTAAAAATTCACAAAGTTTTGACTAAACTTTGTTTCTTGCAATATTGGGTTGAGAGACAGGGAAGGTTGACTTGGTCCACAGTGCACCTGAAAAGTGCGTGCGTGTTGAACTGAGCCAGATGAACCGAAAGCCAATGTTTTGGTTATCTCACCTTTTTGAGTCAGATGGTTGAACAGCTTTTGTACACCGTGGAAGAGTGTGGAACGTGTAAAAATGCAGGTAAGATGTCAGGTAGTCTCCAGTGCCTCTCTACTAACGTCCTAGACGGTCAAATTGGCGAGCAGGACAGGTTTTGTCACGTATGTTTTTGCGGAACTAAGGGATCACGTGATCTAGTGAGGTCGGATGTACTAGTAAAATGAAGCGGAGTTGGTTGAAGAGACAAGGAAGTGACCGTTACAGGTCGAGCCCCACTGCCGTAAAAATCTGCCCCAACAATGAGTTTTCTACGTATCGAATCCTGACTCTTCTGCTAGTAAGCCTCTTTCCAATGCACTGGGCCACTCAAAGCCGAACGAATGTCTAAAACGAAAGAGCTGTCTAAGAGATACACTCATTTGCAAATCAATTTGGTTTTCACGAGAGACTCAAGTGATATTCTACAACTGAATGTGCTGCACACAGGCCGCCTCTTGATTCAGTTGGCACGACATTCGAGATATCGCAGTATATTTTCATAAAGGAAACTACTCACGAGGTTGCTGAAAACTCTTCGAAATTAAGTGAATTTTAGATAGCTTGTTTCATTCATCAGCAGCATGATGCGTGATGTTTAGATGAAACTAAATGAATCGTGTGACTCACTCTATCCTCTGAGGAACCGCGATAAGCGTGCCAAGAACTGGCTGTACCCGTGTGTGGAGGACAGTCAGTCAAATAAAAAATATTAACCCACTGAACTATTTAGAATGAGTAAACACAGTCGTGGCAAATCATTTCACAGCATAGCTTACCGAACGATATTCATGCTCACAGACAGGTGCAACACCTGAGTTCTACTGACCACCACATAAGTGGCGAAGGACAAGCTCTCTTTGACACTTCCGTAGTAAACATATTACTTTAAGTAGTGTGGTTTTTACTGATTGTTTCTTTATGACAAATTAGGTGTTTTTGTATTAGATGAAAACGACAGTCGGGTATTTCCAGCTTCACTGGGGCAGTGCGTTATAACGATTCTTGCGTTTACTTGATGGCTAAATCACTTGGGACGTTGAACAAGGTGTGTGCTTCACACTGAGATTAGAAAGAACTTTAAGCCATTTTTGTGGCAAGTTTTTTGTTTGTTTTTGTGTTGAAGGTAAGCATAAATAGCAGGATTTCCCTGGAGGGAGCTATTGTTCAGTGAGTGACAAATCGAGTTCAACTGACGGCGAATGTCCTTGTGACCTTTTCAAAAGAGTAAGCTCTCTTCTTGAGTTTTCTCTTAAAAGTCTGTCCTTCAGACATGCCTCAATCGATGGGATAGTATAAAACAAAACCTTTTGACTTTCTGAAGTAGCCTTTCTACAGAGGTGAAAGTGCATACCGGACAAAAACTGAATTTCCAGAGTCCCTCTACTGTTTGCCATCTCACAAGCTGAATCAGCAAATTTGTGATTCTTTGTCGAGACCCCACTTTGAAAGCAAACCTAACCTTGAAATATATATTCTACAGGTACTGGAAATCGTCAGGTGTACGTGACATACGCAAGCCTACGACCAGCCTATTGCACACCATTGAGCCATTTTGTCAGGGGTGGTCGATTAATTTCTAGCTTTCATCAACCAGGTCATTAGTTCTGCTACGGGGAACCAAAACAGCCGAGAAATTCTAACATAAGACTCAACAAAGGCGTCAAACTTTAGAGATTCCGTGTGGTTACATACACGAATCTAGTACAAAGAACAATTTCGGAAGTCTATGAGTTTAGTTCTTTTACTGTGTAAAAAAGGGGTTGTAGTGTTTGACTGTTCTTTTGGACATATCACTGAAAAACGTTCCACATGCATAGTGTCTAGCTCAATCGGACCTGCGAAGCCCAAATTTTAAAATTGGTAGCTACGCAACTATTCTAATCTCTATAAAGTCCGGTTCTTGCGAGACAGCAAACAAGTGTTTTCTCACAGTCAGTTGGTAGTTAGGCAGAGAGCACACAAGCCGATGATCTTTTACTGACCAGCGAGAAGAGGAAGGTGTTGTATGGTACTTTTACGAGATGTGCGCGCGATTTGAAGAGAAAACCTACTCGATCCTCCATCCGCGTTTTTTTTGGATGAAAAACGTGGAAAGTGCCATGCTTATATCGTTTCACCGTCATTTGAACAGACCAAGGGAAAATGCGAGTTGTTATCCGTCTGCATCAGTCAAACTCAACCGCATGGTCGGATATTTATTGTTCTCGTCAACACATCATTGAGACTTTCCTGTGTGACTGTTTGTAGTCATCTGACAAGCTGATCACAATGCTCCGGGGTGTGACACTCTGGTTATGTCCAGCCTGTGCTGTTCGGACGTCAAATGCTCAGAATTCACACCCCGGGTAGGAATTGTTGATGGGTTCGTGGGTCCGGTCCGTCGCCCCTGACTTGCACGAACCAGAATGACCGTTTCGAGACTGAGGAGGACTGTCGAAACGGAAAAAATATGGATACGCGTCTGTCAGCTATCACGGGCCCTACTCAAAATGTTGAGTTCCTATCGCATAATAATAAGAGTTAGTTAGGCTTTGTCCGTTGAGCATCAGCGATGCACCCGGCGCAGTATATAAACAAAAAGACAGACGCAATACTCCACATCGGGCAGTCCACTCCGTTGATCCTACTCACCTTCATACCCTGAAGGAATTGTAGAGTACCTGAAAAACGAATTTGCCATCATCGTGAGAATGGAGTGCTGTCAAGCGATTCTATGTTGTAGAGAGCACACAGCCAAATATCACCTTACACAAGAGGTGTATGCAAATCAACCCGGTGTAGAATTATACAAAATGATTAAGAAACTAAACGAACAGGGGTGACAACAATATCTTTGTAATGTACTACTCATAAGGTTGCTGAAAATTCGACGACAGCGGTAACCTTATGAGTAGTACATTACAAAGATATTGTTGTCACCCCTGTTCGTTTAGTTTCTTAATCATTTTGTATAATTCTACACCGGGTTGATTTGCATACACCTCTTGTGTAAGGTGATATTTGGCTGTGTGCTCTCTACAACATAGAATCGCTTGACAGCACTCCATTCTCCTTGCTAAGGGGTGACAACAAGTTTACGGATAGACCTTGGTTTCACAGTCACGCACTCTCCGTCACCAAGGCTGAGGTGAGCAGAACTCGGTACACTGGCAGGAGACAAACATTCTCTCGCCGGACAAAGGGAGGTATAAAAAAAGCCTGTCCTAGTCTTTGTTCAGCAAGCTAAGGTGGATGTCAAATGGCGAGCCTTTCTAAAATCCGTTTTAGTATCTATCAGTGCATTCTTTTACCGTGCGTTTGGTCGAAAGTTTAGTCCAGCCCACCGAAACCAAAAGATTTTCAAATTTGACCTTCACTATCATCTGAAGTAGGATCACATAAGCAAGCTAAACTGCGGTCAGGATATCAAAAGGTGGAACATGAAAGCTGAGTTGATTTGACTCCCCAGTCAAAGGGGTGACTGGGGTCTCCAAGGCGGAGACTTACTACTCTCTTAGGGTACTTTTTCGGTGCTGGACAGATAAGATTAAAAGTTGTCCTTGTGGCTGTCATCACCTGGAGGTTCAAACCAGACACCCACTGGTGTCATCATTCGTCAACGTTTTAGACGGTCTCGATGCCATAGTTGTTTCTACCTGAACATTGTCAACCTCCCGCCTTGCTTGGACCGCAGTCGCGAGAGATACCGCTTTCAGATGGCCTTGATAGGCTTTGACAATCAAATACGACACTCTGATTTCCGCAGGGCATAGAGCAGTTCTAATCGGCCCGAACAACTAAACCCTACAAGTGTAACGGTGATACTACTGGTGGGAGTAGTATGTTTTCTCGTAAATCCGCTTCGCATCTCTTGAAAAGTGAGATCTATTACGGAATTTGTGGAGTCACTTTGGAACACCTGCCTGAAATTGAGTAACAGTCAATGAATATCCAAGAAAGTTCAGGAAGACGCGTTCAAGGAGAAGATGAATATTCAGTTTTGTAAACAAGATGCATTTGAGAGTTTTGCTCCCCTGTCCAATAGTTTATAACTGCTCAGGTGGTTTTTCTCCAACAAACAACTCCGAAGCGAAGGCCTTCTTCCTTTCACAAGTAGCACTCAAGACAAGCACAAAATTTGTCAGTAGTGTGGTGGATTATCAGTAGTTCGGGTATATTCACTGGTGATTGATCAACAGCCACCTGATCAATTGCCAACAAAATTTGTCACTTTCAATCTCAAACCTCGTGAATCAGGACGATATGAGTAGGTTTGTGTGACTTGTGCATTTGAGCACAAAGACTGAGTTCAAATCTGTGCGATCAGATGCATTAGCATAAGAACAGATCATGGTTAGCTTTCGTGTAGAGTGCGTGTGCCGACAGTGCCAAGTATCTTTGTAGTCTAATCTGAAGCATCTCCGCCATGGTTCCATGCCAACTCCTTCTTCGTTGTAAACATTCATAAAGGCATTTTCATGAAGTTCAAGCAAGTTGCAATGCCTACAACGGATTCGCGCGAAATCTATAATTCAACCAAACATCTATGCCTCTATTCCGATTGGTTTTTGTACAGTGATGGCTTACTAACAGAAGCCGTCTGTTGTCGTGGATGATAGAATGGGAAAGTTTGCCGTAAGAAAGAGTTATTAAAGGCTTCAGCCTTTCGTTGTACTGTTAGTATTCGTATTATTGTCATTATTATCATAAAATGTGAGGTACGCATTTCTACTGGCTTTTACGGCCAGCACAGTCTATGCATTCTTATCCAGACCTCCTGAGTGGTCCTCGATTTCACACTGAAATTGGTGAACCGATCTTGGTTGGGTCAGAACAATTATAGCTTGTGTGTGATCACTGTGGTAGTTTCTGTTTCTGAGTAACACTCTCCCTTTCTTGTATTTCCTTGTTTGAAGAATAAATGGCGCTACAAATAAGAGCCAGTCACACTACTGATGGACCGCTCATGACCGAACGATCAAGTGTTCAAACTACTGGGTCGCAGGTTCGAGCCTCCCCGGAGTTACCTGAGATAGGCACTAGTGATGGTCCCCAATAAGGACGATACAGGTGTACCGTGATTCTGGGATTTTCAGCATAGGCTGGCTTTGCGTTCAGGACGAATTCTACACCAAAAATTCCCAAATCTCCTCAGACTACCAGTAACCTACAAGTAGCTCAGTGGAAGAATAAACTTCACTCGATGAGTGAAACTTTCATCTGAGAAGTCGTTGTTCGAGGAGCCAATCAACACGTGTGACCGCGAGATGTGGATCCCGTGACTGAAGGACGAGCGGCGCTATATCCTGTCTAAGTGCGAGTTAATCACACTGTTGATCAGCCACTCGTGGCCGAACGGTTAAGTGTTCAAGCTACTAGCCGGGTTAGAGAATCTTCGGAGTTTCGCGAGATGCGCACTGCTGATGATTCCCAATAAGGATAAAACAGATGTACAGTGATTGTCTGTGGTTCAGTAGAAAGTGACTTCATATGGAGAACAAAGTCTCCTCTAAGGTCCCAAAATCTTGTCTGACTGGTCGATGGGAGAATGTATTAAGAAATCGATTCAAGCTGAGATCGATTATTGTAGGTGCGTGCTGTGGGCAGTAATAACAAGGTCAATTATCTATTACCTGAGCAAAGGAAACTGCTAAATTCTAACTTCTTAGAGCACCGTAAAGTGTATTGATTGGCAAAACACAGCAAAAAAATAATAGTATGAATGTTTTAAACGTACACCAAAATAACTCAGAGGATTCATCTGAATTCTCCTCACCAGTGCTTCTAAAGTGGAATATTGGTTCGGAACGATTGGTACTAAACTTCCTTTTTATCATATGGGCCTGGTTTTAGCCAAAATTTGTAAAGTGCCCAGCGTTAATGGCTTCCACACGTGATTTCAACACCCATCTGTTTGTAACGGTTTCGGTACTGTACATGCCACAACACGGGCACGTCTGACCATATGTGGCGTAGCTTGTATGTACAACACCGAGGACTTCCTGGGAAAATGCGTTATGTTTCCCCCGTTAATGTGTCCAATCGGCTAGTGTGGAATTATATTTCCCAACACATGGTAAACATTATATGTTTGGCCACAGGTGAATGGCGATTTCATGCGCTAATGTTGTGTGATAACAATCTCGTTTATCACTTGAGCGCAACAGGCTTTGAACTAGCCGGTTTCTTATCGATTAATTCAACCCAACTGAGCACCGGTCATGTGACTTGGCTGGGACCACACTACCCGACTGAGTAAAACTCCTAATATATTTCACGCAAGCGATGATCGTAGTTGAAAAAAAGCCAATGTATTGGAAGACAGAACTCAGCCTAACTCGGCAATGGACCTATCCATACGAGTTACTCAACTGTTCAAACCGCGCTTCATTTGCAGACCTAGTTCGCCAGACGCCAGGGATGTATTAATGAGCGCATGTTTTACTACTTTTTTCTGACGCGTGCAATCATGACGGGAGTTTGGGGTCCTAATCAAAGATTTATCAAATTTGCTTACTCAAGAGTACACAAAATTCAGCCACCACCACCACCATCCCCACGGCCACACCAACTGATGGCGTGATCGTGGTTGCTACCCGCTGGTTTCGCTACAAAAAAGCACCTACCTGAACTGGAAATTATGCCGCGAAAAACATGTGACCTTCGTTTTTTCCTTCTAAAAACCTGTCTCTTGCAGCGATAAGTAGGTGACTGTGTAGAGGGTAACATCAATTTGAACATTCCTAATGTATGGCTCACACTATCCCATGCTTACTTCGGAAATCCTCTAAAGTGAGACGTCCTCTCAGCAATCGGTTGATGGATATTTTAAACCAGACGAAGATGAAGTGTATCTACTCCTCAGAAAAGAATCTTGTTTTGTAGAGAACCTTTCAGCAAGAAACTAGCTTTCAAAGTACAGGATAATATCGATTTCTGTCAATTTCTAGGTGAAATCTAAACGGAAGAAGAACGAACACGTGACTGACTTTTGGACGGTATACTAGATTGGATAGTATGTCTGCTCACTAGTGAACAATTTTCTGCGAATGTATGATAGATCAACCCACTGGTGAGTTACCTTAGCCCTCTTGCAGTATTGTATAGAAGTCGTAACGTTGTAAACCGAATACGTGATTACGTATGGTTTATCCCAAAGTTAGTTACACATGACTGCGAAAACTACGCTACAATTAAACAGCCAATAAGAGCATAGGGTGACCCGCACGAACTATACTCTACTATGTACTACTATACTAATATATACTACTATTTATACTACTATATACTATATATAAAACTACTATATACTATATATACTATACTCTTTACAAAGCATGGCCCAGTATTGTTTCTCAACCACGTGATCAGTTTGTAACCAAAAACGGGAAACGTGGGCGACCCAGAATGTGGGTGAACTGGAAATGGACTAGAACACTAGGCGGTGGGGAAAGCAAAAGTCAGACGATTACTTAATTTGAACGAACAAGTAGACACAGTGATTCACTAATATTGGAAAAAGGATGGCGTACAGATTAAACGCTAACTGGGTGAATCCAGTTAGTGAAGACAAAATTGTACTGACAAGCCGAGAAGCACTGGACAACGGGTTCATGCTTACTGGGGAGCACCGGTAGAGCGCAACTTTTGGAGCCAGTGGTTGAACACTTAACCGTTTGGCCATGAGTGGCTGATCCCCAGGGTGAGTGGCTCTCACTTAGAGAGAACAAAGTGCCACTCACTCTTCAATCCCGGAGGCCAGACCATATGATCACCTATTGACTAGATCCTCGAGTGACAGGTTCTCAGGTTTCAACCAAAAATCCATCGACTTATCGATTACAAGCGTAAAAGCTACAACTGTGGGGCATCCACTCCCCACTTCTCACAGCAGATGAGGTTTAGCCGTGTTTGTTGTTTTCCGTTTAGCTTCCATCCACATGGGTTGGAGGTATGGGGACGGTCTGATCATTTTGTCAGATCAGTTTATCTGATTACTCAGAGAGCTGTTTTGGTTCAACAGTGCTGATTGCCGCATTCTGTAAGCATATGGAAAAGTCCGCTTCAGTGACACCGAGAGAAAGAGAGATCATAGTAGTCTGGATTGTACAAGGTCGATTGCATCACAAATGACAGCGATTGGTAGGATGTTCCAAGATGTTCAGGTGGACTTCTCAACTCTGGTCACACGGTGTCCAACTTCAAATGGCTTCTTGTGTCCTAGAAATACACTCATTCGCAAATCAGTTTGGTTGGCACGAGAGACTCAACTGAATCTCTCGTTTATGACATTCTACAACGTAATGTGCTGCACACAGGCACGATATTCGAGATATCGCAGTATATTTCCATGATGGAATCTACTCACAAGGTTGCTGAAAACTCTTCGACAGCCCATGACCGGTTCAAGTAGAACGGAAACTCGGGGACTGTGCCCACCTGATGAGCCCCAAGAAGGACGAAACAGGTCGTGAGCTGTCGAATAGTTTTCAGCAACCTTGTGAGTGGTTTCATTTATGAAAACACACTGCGATACCCCGAATATCGTGCCAACTGAAACATGAGACAGTCTATGTGCGGCATATTTAGTTGTAGAATAGCATAAACGAGAGATTCAGTTGAGTCTCTCGTCACAACCAAATTGATTTGCAAATGAGTGTATTTCTCAAAAATAGTGTAATTTGGGTTCAATTAGAACATACGGTTGACGGAAACTCGGGGACTGCACCTAACTGATGAGCCCCGCGAAACCGGTCTTGGGCTGTCGAGGAGTTTTCAGCAACCTTGTGAGTGGCTTCTTGTGTCCTTCACGAAAATTCAAACCACCGTCCGTGAGTGACGGCACATGTGAAAGTTTTGGCAAGTTTTGTGCATCAACAGGGCTGTATATTCCAAATAGATTTAGCTTAGAATTAACGAGTGTTGAAGCATTACAGTTAGGGATAAACTATCTCATTCTGAGTGTCAATGCAAACAATTCATCACATAGGTGAGGATAGGGCAGCCGTCAAAACTACTGATTGGAGTGGCGGTTTTTCCTCTTCCGGTGAGTCGTTGCACAGAAACCCCTCAACACTGATGCCTGATCGGATGTAATGATTCAGGTGCTTCGGTTGTAGTGGTACCACACTCGCTTGGCATGTCAGATGTTCGGGGAGCAAACCTTGACTGGATCAAGGATGCTGGGGTGCTCTGATAAGAACGAGTCCAGTGTTTCCCCCTTTGGGATGGATTATTAGTGCACAGGTGATGATAGCCATAATACAAATCAGAAGGTGTATGCACTAATAAAGGTCTTTACTGTGGTTGATGGTAGTTTACAGAAGCGATTTGCAGCATAAAATAAAGGCAATATAGAATGTGGAGCAAGTCAGAAGAGGAACTTATCGTCTGTGAGAGCCCCTTGGTCAAAGTCCGGACGACGGGAACGTGTTTTCTCCGCAGTACGGCTGCTACCCGTATTCCATAATTGTCCGTCTTTGGCTGACTCCTTGCTCCCTGCACGCGCGCGAGTCTGTGTGTGCTGACTGCGTTCGGTTTCCCTATATGTAGGTCCGTTTGCGCGTAGGTGGGCGCGTAGGTGGGCGCGTAGGTGGGCGCGTAGGTGGGCGCGTAGGTGGGCGCGTAGCACATGGGTAGTTGCTGCGCTCACAAGGCTGTGTAGACAATCGATGTCCGGTGAGTCAGCTGAGTGTGACACAGTTTGAGTATGAAAAAAAAAGACAAGCCTCGTGATCCAGTGAACGACTGTAAGCTGAACAGTCAAGTGTGTGGGTGACCGGGTGGCTACAGATCCAGCAGAATACTTGCACAAGAACAGGGGAGATGTTCAAAAGTGTGAAAGTGAAACTATCAACGGTTAAAACCATCTACAATCTAAATTATAACTCAGCAATCAGCCTCGATAAGGACTTTGGACGTTGGTCAGAACGTAGGGGTTTCCCACAAAGTGTTGATTGAAACAGTGTCGGTTTTCTCTCCTGAAATCCGCACCGATCCTTTCTTGTACAAACGGCTGGCGGAAATAATAGGCTGGTGGTCTAGATGCTTGTTGGACAGACGAAAAAAGTTTCCGTCCCCATTAGGTTGTCTGGTATATAAATATATATATATATATATATATATATATATCATAGAGGAAACTACTCACATGGTTGCTGACAACTAATTAGTTTCGATGTACCTGATCCATGCATTTGTGTGATTCGCAGTAGGTGTGATGACAAGAAAACGAAAGTGCAGTCCTAGTTTCCATCCATTTAGCCCACAGCTGTCACATCGTCCACGTGGTTTCGTCCGAAACCAGTGTTGTCAGTGCATGTAATAATACTTTCTTGGTCTTGAGGACGAATACACTTGCGACATTTGCGTACGTTTCACATGGCCTGTAGTTTGTCGGAGAAAGTGACCAATGTCTCATGTGAAAATATTGAATGGGTGTTCATTTTTCCTCATCACCTCTGGGACGAATTTGAAGACTTTAGTAAGATTTGAAGTAACCGTGGAACGAGCTGGTACTCGTTTACGAGATTAAGTAAATCTTGACGTCCGGTGAAATTAATTAAGATTCAGAAAACGCTCCGACCTGAATTTTAAAAAAATCGATAGGAACTTGGTCCGCATTTTGCTATTTGTTGATTTAAGATAGCACCCTAAAGTAGTGCCAAGGTCTTCAAAAAAGGAGCTTGCTTTATTCGAGAAATACACTTAGTTGCAAATCAATTTGGTTTTCACAAGAGACTCAACTGAATCTCTCGCTTATGCTATTCTACAACTGAATGTGTTGCGCACAGACGGCCTCATGTTTCATTTGGCACGATATTCGAGTTATCGCAGTGTGTTTTCATAAAGGAAACTGCTCACAAGGTTGCTGAGAACTCTTCGACAGCCCACGACCGGTTTTGCCCTTCTTGGGCCTCATCAGGTAGGCGCAGTCCCCGAGTTTCCGTCAAGTCAACCTTATGCTTGAACTAACCTTGTGAGTAGTTTCCTGTATGAAATTGCTTTATCTATAAAAGAAACACTAGGATTTCAGAGGACATTTCTACACCATTCACCACGATGGACTACAACGGCAAGCTGACTGACGTGCTAGTCACACTTATTTCAATTTCACTTTTACCAAGATCTTGCTGGAGATCTGTAGGTGTCACACACGGTGGTTCATCACGGATATTATTGTATACTATGAGACAGGAGAGTTTATAACGAGCCGCATCGCGCTAACTCAAAAGCTGATCCGAGAGATTTGAAAAGAGCCCTCAAAACTGGTCGTTGTAGGGTGGGAGGTGTAGTAGAGGGACACGCACGTGCCCTTTCACTTTGCTGTGCTAAACGACCTTTATCTCCCAGCCCCACATAAGGTGGTCAGTCTACCAAGTCCCAACCTAGGGAGGTGGGACCGACCTTTTTGGAAAGTACGCAGTCCGTTGAATGATGCTCACCCACCTAATTGCGACAAGGTGATTCTATAACAGGCCCGATCAACAACACGTTGTCCGAAACATAAGTTCTCATGGTGACCTTAGTTGGTTTAGCTAAATCAGCTGAAAAAAAGCAGAACTGAGAAAAAAGACAGATTTATCGAGTTGGTCGCATAAAATCCCACTGATTCACTGTTGCACCAACCTGCCAAACCGTGAAAATCGCCCAGGTGTGATATCTCAGCGGATGTCGATTGATCCGGTGAGTTCACATACTCGTAAACACACAAGCAAGCATTTTTGTCGATCCGTCCACAGGCATGCACGGACAGTAAACAGGCCTACTGGTATGCCAAAATGCCAGGCCGGTTGCATACAACTGACAGGTTGTCAGGTTAGACAGCCTACAGTTTGTATGATGGATCGATTTCGTTCAAATTTCGTATGCTAACCGAAAGTCCGTTTAGCCGACTAAACACGTTTTTGCTACCACTGGCACACGGACAGTGCTTGGGCTAAGGCTTTGGTGAGAAAGACGTTGTTCCCCAAGTCGCTTTTTTAAAATAAACAACTGAAATAATGTGGAATATGAAAGAATAGCCTCAGAACATATAATCAATATACAATGAGAGAAATTCAAATGAGAGTTTTGAGGGAAGAAGTATTTTGAATCTCTGAATCTAGAAGGAACTTTTAGAGGGGAAAAAGTAACTTCCATCGGTGGCTTACTTGAGTCCCAGTTGCCAATAAAACCTCAATTGCAATTCATTATTTTGTTGGCACTAAAGGAAATGATTTCAAGGTCGGCATAATTGCTTCTCCCCGTTTAGAGCCGCTTTAAAGGGGACCGTTTTTGCTCGGCCGTTCTCGCACTAGAAACCCATCAGGCCACTGAACCGAATTCGCTACATTGAGTAGACTAAAGCTGTCTTTTTAGAGACACAAGCATTATTCCCGAAGCTCCGACAACTTTTCTAGACATCGATTTTGCGCACTGAATGACAAGAGTCAGGACACACAAAAAAGGATCGGTCCCAAGTTGGAAAGAAGTTGACTGAGTTGTTATTACAGTGGAAGAGCGTTCATGCACCGGTGAGTTTTCTGTCCCGCGTTTGACGACAGGCGCGTCATTGTCCCTGTTCTAGACAGGTTGGCATCTATAGGATAAATGACAGGAGCATTGAATGTGGAGTACCGTTGAATAGCGTATGCATCCGCGACACTGACTTCGTTCTCCCCCCGGAGTTGCTTGCACTTCCAACAAATATTCACCTAGCCACTGTTGTGAATAAGAAGTTACTATCCTTGTATGTAAGAATACTCAGCTTCATGCAGTCAACCATATTTCTGCAGGTTTCTACATACTGTATGCGACTCTTTATTAGGAGAGAGTTGCTTTTCGTCTGTCAAGGTTGATTACTCACCTTTCAAGATATAGGTATTCTCTTGCAAAAATACACTGCTCATGGGGTTGCTGAAAAACGTTGTACAGCTCACTGCCGGCGTTGCACTTATCCAAGCTGATCACGTAAGCATAGTGGTCGAGTTTCAATCCACCTGATATACTACTTGAACGTGCTCTACTGAGGATTGTCTTCAACAAGAGATTCAGTCAAACCTGACGTTACCGTCAACGTAACTGCTTACAACTTGGCTTTTAACCGTAACATGCTATTTTCGGAAGCTCGGAGACTGCGCCTATCTAATCAGCCCTAAGAATGACGAGACCAGAAGTTGGCTGTCGAAACGTTTTCAGCAACCCCATGAATAGTGAATTCAACTATACTGGTATATCACTAATATCGTATCTTTCAGTTGAAGAACTTCATAAAAAATGGTGTTTCATTTGGGTTCGTCTCTGACATTAATTCGGTCTGCAAATGAGTGTATTTCGTGAAAACGCTGCGTACATATTTTGCATCCAAGCAATTAAGGAGAAGTTTCCACTGGGCGTTGCGTTTGGACCAGTGACCTAAATAAAACAGTCAAG